TTGGGTGATATGGTTTAGGGGTGACCTTGTAGTGTAGGGTCAATGATTGGACTTGATGATCCCAAGGGTCTTTTCCAACCTGAATTGTTCTATGATTCTATATAATTCTATGATATCACCACAATATGCTTATAGTTGATCTCTTTTCTCTGTGTTGTAAGTACTCCTTTGGGGATACGTACCTCATCACTCTCTACAACTGCCTGAAAGGACATTGTAGAGAGGTTGGTGCTGGTCTCTTCCCACCGGTAATTAGCAATAGAACAAGAGGGAATGGCTTCAGACTGCAACAGGGTAGGTTTAGACTGGACATTAGGAAAAATGTCTTCACCAAAAGAGTAGCCAGACACTGGAATAGGCTGCCCAGGGAGGTGGTTGACTCACCGGAGGGGGTTGACTCACCATCCCTGGATGTGCTTAAAGGTCGTTTAGATGTGCTGTTGGGAGATATGGTTTAGGGGTGAACTTTGTAGAGTAGGGTTGATGGTTGGACTTGATGATCCCAAGGGTCTTTTCCAACTGGAACGATTCCGTTCCATGATAGGTTGATGCTTTCTCGTGAAGACAGAACACCACAATCTCATTCAAATTACTTGTTCTGTTTTAAGCAATGACAGCTTAGAAAAGCAAGAATTGGATGGGGTTTCAATGGTGTATGTGCAGCATCAGTCTCATGTTGTTTAGAGCAAAGCAACTGCTGTCCACATAAAATTTTTGAAAGTTAGCTTGTTGTCAGAGGTGATGCACTAACTGTTTTAACTGCTTTTTATGGCTTTCCTTCTAGGCCGTCATCGCTGTGTTGGAGAAAACTTTGCTTACGTTCATATTAAGACTATTTGGTCTACTTTGCTTCGTTTGTATGAATTTGATCTCATCGATGACTATTTTCCGACTATAAATTATGCGGTGATGATACCCTCACCTCAGAACCCCATTATCAGATATAAGAGGAGGTCACCCTAAGTTGTGGAGCTAAAACCTTACTTACATTCTGTAAACTAACAGACTTCTGTTAGAAGGATAAAGACACTGTTGCATCTAGCGTTAGGAAAGCAACAATAATCTACCAAATGCTAATTTTTTGCACCCATTTTGTTTGCTTGCCCACACCATTTAATGCTGCTGAATATAATTGCTTGTTCTACAGTTTTTCTGGGTGCCTTTTTGGAAAAAAACCTGTCTCTTCTATTGAGGTAACAGTTTTAAAGTGCCTTCCAGCTCTTTAAGGTGACAGGCAATTTCCCAGGCAAGAAAGCATGGTTTTGTTTTAGCTGCACAGCTGCGCTACAGCAGGCAAATGAGCTAGCAGAACAGAAACTAAACCTGATTTTTCTATCTCCGCTATGGCAAATAAAAGAGAAATACACCTATGTCATTATTTACCTTCGTTCTTGTTCTTGGAGTTAAATCAACGGAAAGAACTTTGTCAAACTCTGCCTGGTTAAAGGCTTCCCCTTAGTTTCTCCCAAGGATAGAGTGGAGGGGAGGGGCCTGATTTATTCCCCTGTACATACCAGCTGCAAGTGGAATTTGAATCAATGTGCCCTCCACATGACTTGCCTGAAAAGGGTCAAACTACACTTCAGCTCTGAAAGTGTGTATTCAGACAGGTCTCGAATAGTTGTGTTGAAGATTTTGCCAGGTCTCTCTCTCTTTTTTTTTTTTTTTTTTTTTAATTTTTGGAAGAGATAAGTACCTGTCTGTATGCGCAACACAACTGATTAAGAGAAGGGTTAAAATCCTTTCTGCCTGTAACTAGTTTTATAATCTAAAATACTGCAGAATAGAAGAAGTATTCGATTTCTGAATATTTCAAAATAATTGTCAAGTCACCTACAAATGTTTAGTGAATATACAGGAGCTGTATATAATCCGGTAAGCAGACAGCAGACACTGCAAAGCCGACAGCCTTGAATGTTTGCAAAGTACCTCTACAGAACAGCCAGAAAGGATAGCAGTATTGGCACTTTGTACTGCAGGAGGGATGAAATGTATAAACAGATGTTACAAAATCATCTGAACTTCTGACTCTCTGGTAACTTTTAGAGGAGAACCTTTAAACACTAATGCCTGCTCAGAATGTAATCTTTAAAAAGGCAGGTCCAGAAAATGTCTCTTCCATTAATAGTATCACTAATGTTCTTACTTCCTCTTGCCAGTGATGAGAAGAGCACAATTTGGCCTCCAAGAACTACTGACAAGTTTTTAAACTCCTGATTTTGGTTATGTCATTTCTTTTGTAATTTGCTTACATTTCTTCTGGGTAAATACAAAATAAACTAATGTTTAAATATGATTTTGTTCTATGGAAAATCTCAGAACAAACTGTCATAATTTACTTGAAGCATAACTATGCAAAGTGAGGAAGGAAAAGAGAGCTGTCACCTAAAGTGTAATTTGACATATGGAAATTACTACTCCCAAAGATAAAAAAGGAGGAATACCCCAATAGTATCAAGTGCACAGAAAATGGGTAGTAAGTCTGTTTACACTGCAGGATTGGTAACTCAGATAAAAAAAAATCAATGGCAAACGATAAATTTAGACACCCAACTATAATTTCCACGAAGTGGCACTTAAGAACAGGAGTTCACATTAAGTGTTTTCCTAAGTGAAGAGCTCTGTATCTTTCTCCCCCTGAGAGTAGTATTAGTACACAGGATCTTAGTACGGCATCTTGCCAGAGGATTTTCAGTAGTGGAAGCAAGAAATAAAAGTGTTGTTAAGCTTAACTACTCCTGGCAATTCAATGGCTAACCCCCATTTTACTAATAAATATAATGCTGTTCAATCTCTCACCCCAACAGGATTCAAATTAAGTTCTCTGTTCCCTGGCCTTTTGGTTTTTTAAGTTGACACAAAATGATAAGTAAAATATAAGTGGCCCAAGTGAAAATGTCGTCTTGTGTAAACTCTCTCCTTGTAACACAAAAAACCCCATCAAGGTTCATATTATTCCCTTGCCACAAACTTGCAGTTAAGCACATAGTTGCCACGGCCCACTAAATCTTGAGAAAATGTGTACTTATGCAGAGCTTACTCAGAAGATTCCGACACGGTAGTTGTTTACAAGCCGTCAGTTGACGTTTGTGAAGCAATACATATTTTGCATCATGTAGAGCTACTATCTCAGTTTACTGCTGGGATTCCAATGAGGAATTTGTTTAGGAGTTTGTTTAGAAGTTCAGGAGTTCCAAGTTGAAAACTAAAAAAAATCAGTTTTATGGCAACTCAGTGTATAAAACTACTTACTGCCTTGTTCCTGGTACACTGGAAACAAGTTGCTGAGAAACTATGCAGAGAGGGTTTAAAGGAGTGCGGTAACTGTGGAGCCTTCTCCAGAGCAACCTGCCCGGCTGCAGTCCCTCTGCCCAAGGTACAACAGCTGAGGGGGGAGCCCAGCAAAGCCTACTGGCTCCATGGCTCCCAGCCCAAACTTCCAGGTGTAATTAACTCACGAGATTACGTTGCACAAATGCTATTCAGTTCCAACGTTACATTTTATGTCCGAAATTTGAACTTGCTCTGCTAGAAACGTAATCCCATGTTAGCCAATAGCCTAGGCAAGGTCACAGACAAACCTGTATAAGCTCTATAAATCAGGTTGTGGCTGTAAGTATGTGACCTTAATGATTCAGCTGTTTTACAATGCTGAAACTCAGCCAGAAGACTAAGCTGCGTTTTGCTTGTCAATAAATGTGGACAATGTTCAGAAGGTCAGGGAGAATTCACTTTGTTAAACACATTTTTTCTATCTTACTAGATTTTCATTGGTACAAATGTATTCCTACAAATTTGTTCAGCAATTAAAAAGGAAATCTGTTCAGCTGGGTGTTAGAAAACATGACAACATGCACATGTTACGTATAGGAACCGAGTAACAGCAGTCCTGGTGCTGGAAACACTGAGAGAATTTGTCATCTAATTCTGTTTGAAGAAGGATTGAATACTTCAGCTGATGAAACGGGACAAGTGCTCCTATGGCTGTCTGACCCCAGTGGCAGAACTACGTATGCAGCAAGGATGCTGTTCTGTCATTTTGAAAGGAAGGAAAGAAAAAGGTGAACACAACCTCAGATATATATTGCAAAGCATCCAGTCACCCATTATAGCCACTGTAAGCCTGGGTTTTCTTTAATTCTCGCTCTTTGGTTTTTTTCCTCCTTTTGTAATTCTGTCTGAATGTAAGGAAACATGCAAAAAAGAATACTGGAATAAACACCTGGTGTGCCAACAGCTCTGTACTGGAGTGAGGGGAGGGCATTACAATAACAGATGAATTGACTTGTGTTTTGGAGACCAGAACAGTTTATCTGTAGAATATTAGAATTAATTGTGTGATCACTTAAAATTACCATTAATTGAAACTTGTTTCATGAGTGACATTGTTTAGCAAGGGTAGTTAGATTTATGGAAGCGTTATGTCACAGACACAGAAATACTGCTGAGCTTAGGCTGAAGGAAGGCCCCCAAACCAGCTCAAAGTGGAAAGGTAAGGTAGCTGCGTCTGTTTACAGAAACTACATCCTCGAGATGAGAAAAGATTGCCCACCTGGAGACAGAGAAAGGACCCAGTGAGGAACAAGAAGACCCCAGGCCCAGATATCACCATTGGACCAAAGCATCACATTAAGGGGAAGTAAGCTCAGACTCTAAGAGTCTAATTGCCCAGGGCTTGCTTTGCTTGGGGTCCCTCTCGGAAGGTCCCAGCTCCAGCTGAAGTAAACTAACTCTGTGGCTGAATCCAGGGTCCAAACTCTTCTTTACAGTCAAGGGCTAAGAGTGGATCCAGCCACACCTAGTCTTCTCTCCATGAGGAAGTTTGGAAAGCGAGGGGGGTTGGACTGAACCTCACGACTTGGTGAGAGGGTCTTCCAGGACTTGTCTATAACACATCGTGGAATCTAAAGCCTTATGTGCCTCTTCAAAATACTCTAAGAACAAACACAAGAGTTAAACCAGTCAGCCTTCACCATTTGCAGAATGGAATAAACTATTGAAGAGAGCACTATTTCACCAGAAAACTTCACGAGAAGTTAATGGTGCATTCCAGTTAGAGGGACTGTTGTGTATTTAGACCGTAGCAGTATGAGAACTAGGCATAACAATATATTATACTCACCCAAAGTACAAACTAAATCTACTCTTTCAACTTTGTTTTTCTACATAGATGTCGTGCAAGTAATCCGTGTTAAAAACTGTTAATGACAAGAACCAGTGTGCAGGAGCAAGGAAAAAGTAAATGGGTGGATCATGCATCGTACCTGTCTGTGCAGAGCAAGCATGTCTGAGAGTAGCAAAGGGCAAAAATCATATGAGTGCTTTGTACACACAGTTATATGTATTTATTGTTTGAGAAAATGGAGCAATATTCTCAGCAAATGAGGGTGAGGGAGAAAAGCAACAGTAAGTGTTTTGAGAACTGCAATGATATAACTATGAAGCAGGTTCAGGAAGCGCACTCGGTAATAACACAGTCCGTGTAACTGTGACAGCCTGTGATCAGTGCCTTTGTAATCAGAACACGTTTTTATCTCCTCAGGCAACGTACATTGTGAAAACCATCGTACAGTTTACCCACCTCAGACCATATGATGAGAACACAAGGAATATTTATAAATTGCTGGATTTCATATGGAAAACTTACTTTAAAATCCAGTTTATGTAAACTTTAAGACTACTTCAAGATACAAAAAGGGGTTGTGGTCAACTTTGAGCCTGGCCATTGCTCCCTTTACCGTTTGGGTAAAAGACTGTGTGGAAAAGATTCGCCAGCGATCGAGTACACTTACTCGGACTTGCTTTAACATAAGCAAACTCTATTAATTTCCTACGCAAAGTAAAGTGCAGGATGAGTCCATTTTGACAGAAGGGACCTCTTCAATTATGGCAGTAGATGTTCTCAATCTCTGTTCTCAATCTCTAAGTTCTCCTGGTTAAGTGTCAAAAATTAAGGCCAGAAG